AGTCCCTGGAGAAGGACATCATGCTTGGTAAAGTTCAGGGTCAGTGAAAAAGAGGAAGAGCCTCAACGAGCTGGACTGACACAGTGGCTGCAACAATGGGCTCAAGCATAACAATGATCGTAAGCATGGTGCAGGACCGGGCAGTGTTTCCTTCTGTGGTGCATAGGGTCGCTATGAGTTGGAATCAACTTGATGGCAGCTAATAACAACGACAATAACATCCCCAAAACCACGGAATCAGATCCTCTGGTTCAATCAAGCAATCTGTTTTAACAAGCAAGCTCTCCAGAAGATTCCAATGAATCAGAAGTTTAAGAACAACCATAGTAGGGTGTGAAAAGGGACAGACTGAATATTGGTAACTTACTTTTCTCTATCTGTGTCAAAACCCTCATGTGGAAAGTCAGAAATTTACTCACACTCAGCACTGGCTCATTGGTTCAAAACTTCTCACTGTATGAGGAGACCTGGTGCCACAGTAGTTAAATTGCTCCACTGCTAACCAAAGTGTCAGTGGTTTGAAACCACCAGCAGCTCCACAGGAGAAAGATATGGCAGTCTGCTTCTGTAGAGATTTACAGCCTTGGAAACCCTATCGGGTCGCTATGACTCAGAATCAACAGGATGGAAGTGGGTTTATAGGATCACTACGAAACACAATTGACTTGACGGCAATGGGTTTTATAGCGAACGCTCTAAAGATTTGTAGTTCTACTAATGCCAGAATTTTTCTGTCTTGGACTTTAATCAGTAGGTATGTGAGCATGAGGGGCCATGGTGGTGCAACAGTTAAGTGCTTGGCTGTTGGAACCCACCCAGCAACTCTGTGGGAAAAAGACCTGGCGATCTGCTCCTGTAAAGATTACAGCCTAAGAAACCCTACGGGGCAGTTTTACTCTGTCACATGGGGTCACTATGATGACTGGATGGCACCTAAAGACAACAACATGTCAGCATGAGTAAGTTGTCTGTAAAATGGTAATAGCTTCTTTGCAAGTTGATTGTGAAGATTATAAATAACATATGTAAATCACCCGGGAGATACTAGAAACTTCAGAGAGGGTTGTTGTTTTGCTATTAATATTATTAAATTATAATTATAATTACTATGATTACATACTAAATACTTGCAGGGAAGCCTTGTGAGTACACAAACGATCACGTGGTGTGATTTGTATTTTGAAGTTGGGTAAACTCCTGCTTCAAAATATCAGCCCTACCACCTGTCATTGCACCAATTTAGCTTTATTTTGGCAAATACATTCTACTTAGTAAATCTGCTGAATGACTGAGTGCAGGTATAACTCTACTACAATACAGTTACCAATTGTGGGGATAGGAGAGACATGTCACAGTTTAAGCTTATATTCACCCACACCTCAAGGATTAGTTAAGATTTATTAAGGTTGATAGAAATGTAATTAATGACATGTTCTCTTTAAAGGGCTGTGGTGGGTAGGGAAGAAGGAAGAGTACTTGGTAGGGAGACCAAAAAAACCCAAACCTACTGCCACTGAGTCGATTCCAACTCACAGCAACCCTATAGGATAGAGTAGAGCTGCCCCATAGGGTCTCCAAAGTGGTAATCTTTATGGAAGCCAACAGCCACATCTTTCTCCCACAGAGTGGTTGGTGGGTTCAAACCACAGACCTTTAACCACCAGAACTCCTTGGTAGGGAGAAGAGCCTAGAAAAAGGAAAGCATCTTGAAAGTGGTGATGGGAATGTTCACAAATGCATATTGTGTCTATTTCACGCTTTTACTTGAGGCTGGAGTTGGCAATGGAATTAAACACTGAAAAATCTGGTTAAAAAAAAATTTTGTAATATTACTTGAATCGACCCAACAGCAACTAACAACGACTAAATTATTACTTATTAGTCAGCTTGACTGATGTGTTTATTGAATGAATTGCTTGCTTGACTGAATTCGCTGGTTGTTTTTGTACGACTTCAGTATTTTTCAAATCACCCAGCCCCAGATACCTCTAAACTATTTTAGCCTAATTGCTGTTTATTTGGATTTTAAAAAATCTCTTGGGAAGGAAAATAGGAAATATCCTTTGGTAACTTATTCAGTTCTGTCTCTAACTTATTCAGTTCTTTCTTAGATGATTATGCCCAGTTTATTGGTCACAGACTATTTACTGGACACATTAAACTAGGCTATTATGTTCGGTTTTATTAAGCAATTTTTTCTGGTAGTCATGATATGCAAAATTTATTGCATTATAGCAGAAACTTAGAACACAGCAATTATGTTAAAGACACCAAAAGGCATTAATAAAATATAGTTTCCAGTTTAGTTTAACTTTTAAAACATCACATTTATTTATTTTTGCATTCTAAATTTATTCAGGCAAAAAGGCTTCTAAAATATTCTAAGATTTTCTGCATTGATTTGTTTGTTGTAGATGATAAAGTTTGAAAAAATACAGAAATTCTTGGGATTGGTTTATATGACAATCAGTTTTGTACTTCCTACAGTTTTCACATAAACCCAAAACTAAATCCCTTGCCATCCAGTCGATTCTGACTCACAGCGTCAGAATTGACTTGACGACAATGGGTTTTCATATTATATTAGAGAAAGAATTTCTAGAACTGAGATGGATCAATGGTGGTCAATGGTGGGAAGCTTAGCTTTTCGTAGGGTTTCTATTATTTTAAACAATAGTCATGGGTGCCCAGGGGTGGGATTATAGCTGTGAGCAGGGCCACCAGGTAATGCATGAGGTTACCTGGTGGACGGCCAGCTGTGGATGAAAGCCTTCCAGTTCTGCTTGCCAAGTTGTGTGGGCTGTGTGAGACTGTAACTGCTGTGTTGTTATTAGGTGTCAAGTTAGGTTGTCAAGTCAGTTTTACTCAAAGCCACCCCATGTGACCGAGTAGAACTGTCCTATAGGGTTTTCTAGGCTGTAATCTTTATAAGGGCAGATTGCCAGGTCTTTCTCGCACACAGCCACTGATTGGGTGGATTCAAACTGCCAACTGCCAACCTTTTGGTCAGCAGCCAAGCCCTTAACTGTTGCACCACGAGGGCAACTGCTCAGAGGGTGCCTTTTTCTAACCCTTGCAGCTCACTGGATAACCAGTTTTTTATGTATTCACATTAACTAGACTATTATGACTCTTTCCTACAATAAATGGTCTAAGATTAGGTATTTGTCCAAAGGCGTGGGTCTGGAAAACAAGCAACTACAAGGCTGAAGAGTGATTCTTTGCTAAAGGAGGAGGATCCCTGACAATAGACGTGAATGAGTTCTCTGTACAATATGCTGCATGACCATACGATACATGAACTTAATAACAACACCAGCTTTCACATATCTGAATAACTTTAACTTTCCAAAGAATTACTTTACGAGACTTGCTACTTTATTAAAGAGGCTGATGCTGTTCAAAAGCATATTTAAAATCTTGTTCTAGAACTTACCTACAAAGCCAGTTATGAACTGCATCAAAATCTCTCATGCTATTTTATAGTCATCCCCCATTATCCAGATTATGTATCCCCTTGAGTCATTATTATGTGTGATTTTGGAATATTGAAAAAAATGAACCTATCCTTGAAGGAATAAAATTATAGTGAAGAATACTGGAGATATTGAATCATAAGCCCTGAGGAAACTACAAAAAAGACTTCCAAAATTATTTCTAAGCAACAAGGGCTCTACCTCCCAGGTTGACTATTTTGCCAGGAACGCGGAGGCGGTGTGCTAACGTCAAGTAAGTATTTCTGAGAGGCAGCCTATCACAGCGTTTAGGTGTGTGAGCCTGGGAGCTGGACTGGCTTGGATTGAATACTTAGGATACTAAGTAGCCCTCCTACTTGGTAGGTATGTACCTTAGAATTGCTCAATTTCTGAGTACCTTAGGATTCTCATCTACAAAATGGGAATAATAATGGGGACTAATTCCTAGAGTTGTTGTGAAGATTACATGAATTTGTTTCCTGAAAAGCATCAGACCAATGCCTAGCACATAATAAGCCATCAGTAAATGTTAAACAGTTCCCTAGTAGAACAACGGTTTGCAAATGGTTTATGCTTTAATGCTAACCTAAAGGGTGGCAGTTCGAACCCACCCAGTGACACCACAGAAGAAAGGCCTGGCAATCTGCTGCTGTAAAGATCACAGCCAAGAAAACCTTATGGAGCAGTTCTACTCTGTAACACATGGGTCACCATGAGTCACAATCAACTTGACGGCACAGGTCTTTTTGTTTTCTTGTTGTTTAAATGTTAAATATTGTTAATATTATTATGTTAATTCATTTTAATATGATACATCTATACAGATTCATATACATTTGCATTTAACTTTAATCTTATTGTGAGGTAGATATTGTTTTCCCCATTTTATACAGGAGTGTGCACCATACTTACTCTCAGAGAGACTAATTTACTGGCTCAAAGCTCAGAGAAAACAGTCAACTCCCCTTTAACAGTCCTCGTCTACTGGAACCAGCTTGACCCCTGATGGCTAGATAAATCAGATCTAGACATCTTAGTCTAATACAAGTTTCCAAGGATCTATCTTTGATTTTACTACTGTCATTAGTGCCGTTCACCAAATTTTTTTTTTTTTTTGCTTTTTGCTTCTGGCCTCATAGTAGGATTGCATTTCCCTGTCTTCTTTGAATGCAGACATGGCCTCATGACTTGCTTTGGCTAATGCAATAGAGATGGAAGTGATGCCACGTCTTGGTGGAGGCTTTAATGTTGTTTTACCCATCCTTGAATGATTACAAAAGTACGTTGTCAAGATGAAGCTTCCATTACTAGACCTCTAATGGACCTGCAGCATGATTGAGAAATATTCCTTCTTGTTTTAAGTCACTAAAATTTTCAGTTTCTTCTTACTGTATAACTCAGCTTGTCCTTACTGATGCAACTACCGAACAAATCAGGAACACTGAATAGCCAGTAAGAGATTGTAAAGCACATTATAAAAAGTAGGCAATGCTAAGTCATGGCAGCAAAGAGCTGAGTACGCACCTTCTGTGCCCTCCGTTTGTCTGCTCGTTGATTCTGGTGGTAGATCCGACTGAAGTTGGAGACAATCACTGGAACAGGTAGTGCAATGACCAAGACCCCACTCAGCGAACAGATGGAACCAAAAATCTTTCCTGCTATGGTTTTGGGTACCATGTCACCATACCTGGATTAGAGAAAAATATATATATTGTTTTAAATCACAGAAAGACATTTCTACCTGTTACAAGTAGTTTTTTGCTTTAGGTCAATTATTCTTTTGGATATATCGATTTCTATTTTATGACGGCAATATACATGACTTCAGACTTTCATAAGCTAGAAATTATGAATATCTGAATATAAAGTCTGTCTTTCACCCTGGCAGAAACTGATTCTAACAGTTAGGAAATCTCTGACTGGAAAATATTTTAAGCCACATGGCTTAATGTTAGCACTTCGATTTGTACTTTATATAATATGGCATGGCTCTTTATATTTATTTGATAGTCAATATTTCCTTGCTGAATTTTATATTCTAGATAACACATTTGCCACTTATTTTTTTTTTAAACATTGGATTTGTTATGAAATTTAAGAGGAAAGAGTAGTATATCACTTTCTTTTCAAGAGATATGATCACTTATAAAATAAACTTTTCAAGGTCACCATTAACCTGTACTTGTGAAATCCAATGGCCATTTCTCCATGCTAATCTTACTTTCATTTGCATTTGGCATAATTGTCCACCCTCCCATTGAAACATTCTCTTGCTCTTGGCTTCTGTATTAGAAAATTCCTTAGTGGTCCTCCTGGTTCACTGACTGCTTCCTCTCTGTCTTCTATTCTGGCTCCTTTCCTTTTTTAATTTTTACATCTTGGAGTAATTTAAGGCTGAGGCTTGAGTCCTCTTGTCTTCATATAAACCCCCTTCCTCTGTGATTTCACCTCATCCTATAGCTCTAAACTAGATGCTGCCGATTCTGTGGTTTATATTACTAGTCCTGATGTCTCCCTGAAATTCACTCATATCTCCTGTAGTCTTTTGTGATTATCCCTACACTGGACGTCTAAGAGCCAATTAAAACTTGGCTCACCAAAATGGAACTCTAATTTCATTTGTCCCTTTGGCCCATCTCCCCCAAACTTTTTCCTCCCACAGTTGGCCACCTCTAAATAAATGGGACTACCAGCCACCCAGTTGCTCAGGGTCTTTGCCTGCAGTCCAGCCATCTGAGAAGCTAAATCAGAATGTGCAGATTATGTTAATGAGGAAACAGTCAAATCTAAAGGAATTTAGAATATGAATGAAAAAGGTATGAGGACTTTCTTACTGTAAGGATACCATGAGCAGGACTGGAAAGTCAGCTCCTTTTTCTAAAATGCAGTATGCACATGAGCCAATTTCTGTCTGCCATGATTCACATTAATGCACAGCCATATATTATACACGTCTTTTTTGCCCTTTAAGGAGGCCTGGTGGTGCAGTTGTTAAGCACTTGGCTGCTAACTGAAAGGTCGGTGGTTGGAACCCATCAGCGGCTCAGCGTGAGAAAGATATGGCAGTCTGCTTCTGTAAAGATGTACAGCCTTGGAAACCCTATGGGCCAGTTTTACTCTGTCCTACAGAGTCGCTAGGAGTCAGAATTGACTCCACGGCTATGGTTTTTCTTCCCCCTTTGCACTGATTATGCAATAGGCATACACACATACATACACACACATACATACACACACACACACACACACTCTACTTACAACACACACAGCTTAAAAACAAAAAGGAATTTGATTTTATGCCTATCAATTAAGATTTAGAAAGGGCTTCTCAAGAAGGAAAGTAAATAAAAACTCAATTATTTGGTTGTTATGGTCAGAGGGGACAGGAAGTGAGTTCATATAATTAAAATAAGCGTTGAATAGCTAAATAAATACCTCATGTAGTTTCTCTTGTTCCTGACAGATTTTTAAAACTAGTATTTATTAGGAGCCCTGGTGGCACAGTGGTTAAGACCTCGGCTGCTAACCAAACAGGTCGACAGTTCAAATCCACCAGCTGCTCTTTGGAAACCTTATGGGGCAGTTCTACTCTGTCCTATAGAGTCGCTGTGAGCTGAAATCAACTGGACGGCAATGGGTTTCAGGTTTTTTTGAGTACTTATTAAATGCTTTTTGTATTCTAGTCTTACTATGTCACGGAGTAGGCAAGGTCAGCACACTTGTAATTATTAGAGAAAAATTAAGGGCTACACTGTGTGGTATGGACTCAATGCTCAGTAACAGTACAATAAGACAAAAGACTGGTAAGTTCATATGGCAGGCAGGAGTTGGGGAATTATGTACACAGAAAGCCTCTGCCTAAAGGAAGAAGGGAGAAGATAGATTTGGGGACTCAGGGAAAGGGACCCTGGACAAATGAATAAAGCATCTTTCATCTTTTTACCCTTGGGTAGAGAGACAGGAGTTTTCCCATGTGACAGCAAACGAGGATGGTCCTGTTGTGAGGACAAGGCAGAGGGAGTGGCGAGAGAGCACAAAGGGGCAGAACAGGCAGGGCTGCTAAGATAGTCCAGGTTTTCCTGTGATTAGTCACGTGACAGCAGCCTGAGACCTTGGCTGATTCCCAGGAGCACAATCTACCTCCTTCCACACCAGTTGCCATCAAGTTAACTCTGACTCATGACGACCCCATGTGTGTCAGAATATAACTATGCTCCATAGGGCTTTCAATGGCTGATTTTTTGGGAGCAGATTGCCAGGCCTTTCTTCTGAAGCACCTCTGGGTGGACTCAAACCTCCAGTTTTTCAGTTAGCCAAGCACCACCCTTCCACACACCTCTTGGAAATGTATATATGACCCTTTGGGCTCTTCTCCCTGCTCCCCTTATATTTTCAAGATTGGACTGCTGTTGATATTTGTAATCTTTTAAGCATATTTCACCAATTTGAATATGTTGGAAAATAAAGAAAAATGCACAGTGTGATTTGTATCTCACCCTCTTACATTGTCCATTTTTGTGTCTCTTCTCATTTAGGAATGACCTTGAGGAATGGAAATAGAAAACTTATCTATAAACTTGGAATTGGGCACAGAATCTGCTGGGAATGAGAAATATCTCTCTGGTGAGACCAGCTGCTTTCCTTTGTTAAACAGAGGACCTTTAAACTAGCATTCAAACTCATAGCAAGGAGCAAAATAGCATTATATACCTAAGTAATCCTATTTCTTTAAAGCTTGGTGGAAGAAAGCTTCAGAATAAAAAGCTTTATAACGAGAAGTGATACTTATAGTGGCTAAATTGTTATTTAAAGTGTGTAAGTATTGCCTGCAATAAGTCCATCCTTTCATGATTATTTCTATCTCGGGCACCTTGTTTACCGGTTGGAATTTTATTCTTTATATTCCATATGAACGCATACTTTCATTTTTCTGAATCGTTATTCTTAAATTTATGCTAAGCCAAGCACTATTATACATTCCGTTTGTTCTGCTTGTCTTCAGAGTTGAATATTATTTCTCCAGTCTTCAAAAACCCATTTCCCAAAAAGTTACCCCAAAACATTGCATTGATGTGGTTTTATTTTCATTCAGACTTTTCCCCGCCATATTTAATACAATTGATGAAAAAACTACTTAGGGCCTATAATATCAAATAATGTAAATATAAAAACCAAAAAAACCCATTGCCATCGAGTTGATTCCGATTCATAGTGACCCTATAGGACACAGTAAAACTGCCCCATAGGGTTTCCAAGGAGTGGCTGTTGGATTCAAACTGCCAACCTTTTGGTTAGTAGTCGAGCTCTTAACTGCTGCGCCACCAGGGCTCCAATGTAAATATAGAATTCTTTTAAAAATAGAAGAAAACAGGGGAGAAGATAGCATAATAAAAGAGAATAATAACCAAGAGTTTTATATAACAGAAATGAGCAGACTTGCGATTTGTTAGGTCATAGGAAGCTTTTCCGCATATTTCTTCTTTTACTTTCTCCTGTCTCATCTAAGTTTTCCCTCTCCCCTGTATTCACCATGTTGCTAGCAGAGTCCCTGTCATGGATTGAATTGTGTCCCCCAAAAAATGTGGGTAGCACCTTGGCTAGGTCATGATTCCCAGTATTGTATGATTGTGTTATCTGATGTGATTTCCTTATGTGTTGTAAACTCTACCACTATGATGAGATTATATGTGATCTCCTCACGTGTTGTAAATTCTATCACTGTGATGAGTTTATACTGATGAGGTCGACAAGATTAGTGTCTTAATGCAATCTGTTTTGAGATATAAAAGAGAGAAGTGAGCAGAGATACATGGGAACCTCAGACCACCAAGAAAGCAGTGCTGGGAACAGAGCGCGTCCTTTGGACCTGAGGTTCCTGCACAGAGAAGCTCGCAGACCAAAGGAAGACTGATGACATGGACTTTCCTCCAGAGCTGATGGAGAAAGCGTTCCCCTGGAGCTGATGCCCTGAATTTGGACTTGTAGCCTACTGGACTGTGAGAGAATAAATTTCTCTTTGCAAAGCTATCCACTTGTGGTATTTCTGTTGGAGCAGCACTAGATGACTAAGACAGTCCCCCCATTTTCCTTCAGCTCCTTATTTACCCTGGACATCTGCCAAGATTTACGTTTATTGCTCTCCTTTCTTCTCACATCAGTTATATGGACGTGTCACTCACATAAAAATGTTCATTTCAAATTTGAACATATTGCTCCCAAATACTTGGTAAATATTACATCTTTTGCCACATGTTACAGATAACATTGAATGGAGGACCAGTTCTCTAGAAGAGAGTTGATTTTTGGTTCTCAAAGATTTTAATCTCAAATATCATGTGAAAGATTCATGCAAAATCTTGGCCGCCTGGTATGCAGTCTGTTTTCTCAATGTCAAAATAATGGTTAAACCTGGTTAATTCAGAAGAAAGACCTAGAACGAAGCCATAAGTTCTCAGTTATCAAGTCATAGCGGAATAGGCTGGAAAGCATGCATAGATTTTAAATATATTTTAACCCAAATTTTATTAACATTTATTCAATTTTTCCCTATTTGGAATTTTTCCAGAAATTTGATGGCTAGAGTGTAGCTGTGTTTAGATTTCAAATGGTGAAATATTTCCTTGAATTTTCTTACACATTCTTTGAACACAATCCTGTTACCTTACTAGTCCTATTCACTTCACTTCT